GTGTATACCACTGGATGTCATGACCAATGGACTTTTGAGTCATAGTTGTTGAATTCTGGTGACCGACGCATGCAGTGAGATGCACTCATTGATGTGTATCCCCTAATAAATACCTTATCTCTTTGCTCAAGGACCATGCAACAGAAAAACACATATTTGCCTTATTGTCTTGCTGCATGGCATCTCAGCTTCACAAAACTTTGCTGCTGCTACTGCTCTTGCTTCCCCGTGCTCTTCTTGTCAAAGCTTCACTCGGATCCCAAGGGAGGGCGTTGCTCCAATGGAAAGCCACTCTTAGGAGTCCTCAATCCCTGAGATCTTGGAATCTCAATTCTAGTCCGTGCAATTGGACCGGAGTTACATGCAATTACCCCGTTATAGGTAGAGGGCGTTCGGTGATCATCGAGATATCCCTGTCGAGAATGGGCTTGGCAGGGCCACTTGATGCTCTTGATTTCTCGGCATTGGGATCGCTCCTCCGTCTCAATCTCTCTTACAACCAGCTTGGTGGGGCAATTCCTCCGACCATCTCGGCTCTCTCCAGGCTTGTATCTCTTGATCTCACTAGCAATCAGTTCACAAGCAAAATCCCAGTTGGAATGGGCTCCATGAAAGAGCTTCGATTCTTGAGTCTTAGCCAGAATCAAATGGTTGGTGCTATACCTCCATCTCTTAGCAACCTCACCGGCCTTGTGTCCTTGCACTTGGAAGATAATAAGCTTGTGGGTGTCATTCCTAAGGGGTTAGGGAGGCTCCACGAGTTGATGTATCTGAATATTGGAGTCAATAACCTATCTGGTTCAATCCGTCTAAAAAATTTAACAAAGCTTCGCTTCTTAGCTCTATACCAAAATCAGCTCTCGGGTCCTATCCCTTTTGAGATTGGAAATCTCATTGAGGTCACCAATCTCTACTTCTCAGAAAACCTATTAACAAGTTCAATTCCTTCCTCTATAGTAAACATGACCAAATTAGAGAGTCTTTACCTTTGGGGTAATCAACTATCTGGTTTTATTCCTCTTAAAATTGGAAATCTAATAAAAGTTACTGATCTCTTACTTTCAAAAAATCTTTTAATTGGTCCCATTCCTTCTTCTATAGGAAATATGACCAAATTAAACATTCTTTACCTTCAGGATAATCAATTATCTGGTTTTATTCCTCTTGAGATTTGGAATCTAATTGAAGTTACTGATCTGGCCCTCTTAAAAAACCAATTGTCAGGTCCCATCCCTTCCTTGATAGGAAACATGACCAAACTCAAAAAACTAGGTGTATTAGATAATCAGTTGTCTGGACCTTTGCCTGTGGAGATCAACAACATTACTGGACTGACATACCTAGTGCTGTCAAATAATAACTTCGTTGGTTATTTACCCTCAGACATATGCAAAGGTGGAGCCCTACAATACTTCATTCTAAGCATGAACAACTTCCAAGGTCCCATTCCCACGACCTTGAAAAACTGTACCACACTAGAAAGGGTTCGTCTTGAACACAACCAACTCACCGGAGATGTATCTCAATGTCTTGGAATGTATCCCCATCTTTATTATATGGATTTGAGCTTCAATCTACTCTCCGGTACACTCCCACCAGACTGGGCAAGATGGCACAATCTGACGCTCTTCAGAATCTCAAATAACAACATCACCGGAGTCATACCCACCGAGTTTGGGCAGTTGACGAAACTGCGAGAGCTGGACCTCTCTTCCAACTACCTACAAGGAGAGATCCCAAAGAGCTTCGGCAGCTTAACCCTTCTCTACAATCTGAGCTTGGGCAACAACCAACTCGTCGGCCAGGTGCCTTCGGAGTTTGGAATGCTGACCAATCTTGAACTGCTTGATCTCTCATCCAACAACTTGGCAGGAAGAATCCCAGATCAATTAGGCAACTGCATGAAACTCCGATCGTTGAAGCTTAACAACAACAACTTCAGTGGAACCATTCCTTTGGCCATTGGTAATCTGGTGGACCTTCAAGACACGTTTGACGTCAGCCACAACTCACTAACAGGGGAGATTCCATCCCAACTCAGCAAATTGGTGATGCTGCAAAGCCTGAATCTATCGCATAATTCCTT